TGACACACATAACATGATTTTGCGCATATGAACATCTCTGTTTCGTACCAGTGTGTACAGCGTGATAGAATAGTCAGTATTTTTGCAAAAATTTCTTTCCTTGATTCTATCCATTCTTCCGAGTTATAGTATGTGATCCAAAATGTTTTGCCTGCTATTGCAATTGATATAGCTCTACAGATCTCCAAGTGTAAATATTTATGTGTCACCTGGTGCTTCTTGAAACAGTAAGAAATCATATAGCACTGGTAACATGTTATTAAGTTTTTACTGAGTAGTTTGCAAACATGACAAACGTTTGGATTGAAAAACTGATTATATTTGTCTTCTGTGTATGGTCCATTGAAAGTTATTACTTGCTTCATCGCATTACGTCTTAGTAATTATCGTTTATGCGTATTTTATTTGTAATTTTTATTTCAAAATAATGCACTAAACTCGACAACTCACGGAGTGTAATAGAAATATTTATACTGATTATATGTAGATATTTGACCAGTAATAGTACAGGCGACAATAACAGCGGATACGAACATGTATCGAAAAAGTTGTTGACAAGATAAATTATATTGTTATAACAAACTAGAAATATTCATTAGTGTAGGGAAACGATAAGATACATTCCTTAGAAAAATCTTATTAAAAAATTGAAAATATACAAAGTTTACTAAGGAAAATACTTTACTAAATTTATTATAATTTGAACAAAACTTTAGTATATATTTCGGTAATGTACTATAAATGTCACTTTAATCGAACTAATCTATTAAAAAAATTCTTTTTTGATATGAAGCGATCAGTTATCCATGTTCTGACAACGCTAAACGTTCCTTAACTTTGATGATTGAGCGGCATACGATGATCTTAATGGTTCTAACAATGTTTTTAGGAGTTATATAGTGTATTGTTATAGTATTCACAGAACATTATAATATATTTACGGGTGTATATCAGTTGGACACGGGGCAATTGGACACAGTCCAATCACAAGTCGCTGTTCCGAGGGACCCTACAAATGTGTCTAATCACACGGTGCTGTGATTGGCTGTGTCCAAATGCACCGTGCCCAAGTGCACCGCTCCCTATATTTACTCGCAAACATTGAAATGATGGGTGAACATTTAATATGTGACAAATATTGATATAATGAATATTCCTACGTAGAAATGTTAAAGTGACCTAACATTGGGTACCGATTGCCGTTGTGTTAGTACTGGCCGCGAGTGTTGTGCCAGTATAGATTCGGTACAAAAGCGTAACACCTTGCCGGACTGATCAAACACGAGCACCAGCACTGATACCAAAATTGGTGCTAATGTCGTACCAATCTTGGATTTATAACTGACCCGCTATCTGGGAGACCATTTTATCGATGCACATAATATGGGTTACATTTATCCTAATATATTTAGTTGCGCTGGTGTATACGTGTATATGTGTATCATAATAAAAATACATGATACACATACTAAATACTTCGAATAATTTTTATTAAAATTCTGAAATATTCATAGCCACAAATTGGATTATAATATAGAATATAATCTAATATATATATATATATATATATATATATATATATGTGTGTGTGTGTGTGTGTGTGTGTGTGTGTGTGTGTGTGTGTGTGTGTGTGTATGAATGTGTCTGTGTACTTTAAAGTCTGAATAAAAATTATTCAGAGTATTTATATATTAAATTATATATTAAATATTTATATTATTACATATACACACATATATATACACACGCACGGCATGCAGGTGCACATAAATGAATTTTATAAAAAAAGTTATTGATAAAATTCTCACAAAAATAAATAATATCAAACGATTTACGCCAACCCTTATAGAAATATCATACTAAGAATCATTGATAATTACTTATTTTCAGTATTAAAAATACTGAATAATAAGTAATTATCAATGATTCTTAGTATGATATTTCTTTAAGGGAAGTGAAATTAATTTCATACACAATAAATATTGTTATAACTACTTTGTATATATGAACACTACATTAAGTATCTACTGACTTTATTTTCTGATAATTACATAGAATTGAGAAAAAATAGTTTTTAAAAGCTTATTTAACATACAAAAATAAAAATTTTGAGAAAAGTTAAATAAAATTTCACGCGCACACAGAAAACACTTGGCGTGCTAGGGTAAAATTTCACACGCACAAAATACTTGGCGTGCTAGAGAGGATCGCATTAATACTTTTAATACTTTACGAAAATCTTTAGGGCATATGTTGTACGAGTAGCATTAAAAGAATGCGCATGCCAAGTGTTTTGTGTATGTGTGTAAAATTTTACCTTGGTACGCCAAGTGTTTTCTGTGTGCATGAATAAAATTTTATTTAACTTTACCTAAAATTTTTATTTTTGTATGTTTACTAAATAAGCTTTTAAAACTTATATTTTCTCAATTCTATGTAATTGTTAGAAAATAAAGTCAGTAGATACTTAACCTGTATAGGACTGACTGTTTTTGGACAATATTTTTAGTTTTAGTTCTAGAACATTTTAGTCCTTGTCAGTGGGTTAAACTACGAAAACGATGGGGCCGCTGCAATGCCTAATGTTAGGCTTCTGGTCTGGAAAAAAATGAATGATCATTTTTTGCTGTATTTCTATTTTATACTATTGTTTATTGTTAAAATGATTGTTTGCAACGTCATTTGCAACGTCATTTGCAATAAAAATGTGTTGAAAAGTATGTATAAAACATAATTATAGCTACGCTTATGGCGCGACACGCGATCGCACCGCTATCGGAAACATAAACACGCGATATTGGTTTTCGCGGCCTAATCCGCATATTCTCCCAAAATGTAAATTTTACTAATTCGATGTTTCCCTAACCGTATTCGTTTGTAACGCGCAGTTGCAAAAGCTGCACCATCACTTAATATTTTACTTAGAAAAAAAATATTGTCTTCACGAGGTCTTGTTTACAGTGTCACTGACGAAAATGCGTCTTTGTGTGTATTGTTTGGTTGTGTGTAGCCACAAAGCGTTTATCGGTGCGCTAGCAGATATCGAAGTATGAGATAAAAAATCATTTTTTAAGGAAATTTTTTTACTGTTAAGTAAATACAATAAATACAAATATATATATATATATATATATATATATATATATATATATATATA